GGGAGGCTATGGGAGGGTGCCATCTGGGAAGTGGGTGTATAGTTGAATAAGATGGTTTGGGATGTTCTGTGTAATATATACACACACACACAAAATAAACAAATTTTGAAAAATGTATTATATTTGAGGAGGAAGCAAGGAAATTTATATCATGCTAATTAGTAGAGGTGATAAACATTACCATTGAAATCCACCCGATGACTTCATAGACATATACAGGTGCCAAGGGTCCAAGTGCAACCGATTTTGACTAGTAATAATCAAATGCATACAGATTAGATATACATGCACCAACATCTCAGTGTTAGTAGCAAAAACAATGAGTCTTTCTGCAAGGAACAATATATTCTAAAATGAAATGGAGATCTTTTTTAAAGGTTAAAAACTCATTCAATTTTATGTCTTACAGGGCTTATACTGAGTTCAATATTGTATAACTGTATTAACTCAACTGTGAACCTAGAAACTTGTACCCACTTGTGAAAGAGATATACTCTTGCTCTGGAGTATGTTACTGAATATGTTAAATCTCTAGTGAAATGCTTCTTCTAATCATGTAGTTATTAAAAATTAAAAAAATAGTGATTAAAAAATAATAATAATTAGATGTGAAAAACATTATAATTGAAACCTACCTAATGACTTTATATCCATGCTCAGATGCCAAGGAACTCAGAAAGTAACTGACTGTCACTAGTAATAATCAGATATATAGAGATTAGAAACTCATGTGCAAACTTCTTCATGTCAATTGCATTGAAAATGAATTTTTCTGTATGAAACTGTGTACTTTAATAATGAAATGGAGATCTTTTTTAGAGGTTAAAACCTCATTCAATTTTATGTCTTATCAGGTTTATACTGAGTACCATATTGTATAACTGTAACAATTCAACTGTAAAACTAAAAGTTTATAGCCAATTTTGAAAAAGATACATCTTAGCTCAGAAAATTGTTATTGAATATGTCAATGCTGTTGTAATGAAAAAAAATAATTTTCATCATGTATATTTATGTATTTATATTTATTATGAAAACATTTTGTTTTTTATAAAATGAAACAGATTTTTAAAAAATAATTTGATTATGTACATTTTTAAATTAGTTTATTCATGGAGGGCATATATATGGAGATCAGAGGACAACTGTGGGAGGGAGGAGAATCCCAGGTATCAAAATGAAGCCATCAAGCTTGGTGGCCAGTGCCTTTACCCACCAGCTCACTGGCTTCTGGGTTTTCATTTTGTTGGAATTCTATGCCATGTATAAATAGCATTCTTTTCATCCAGGTTATAGAGGAAATCATTTGTTTTCTTCTAGCATCCATAGTTAATTTGAACATCAAGATCTCATATTCACTTGGAGTTCATTCTTGTATGAACTGTTCATTCAGTATGATGAGTTGAGCAATTTTTTCTTTCAAAGACTTCTTGCTTGGTGCAGGGACAAGTGGCTGCAGCTTCAGCTGCTTGAGCAGCTCAGGGAAGAGGATTGCTTGAGCCCGAGTTTAAGATTAGCCTAGGAAAAATGATGAGATCCCATCTTAAGAAAAAAAAAAAAGAACTTTTAATTATGTGGAGAATTGCATCTAACAATATTAATCCCCAAAATGGAAGCTATAAAATTCAATAAAATACATACATACATACATACATAGAAAGCATATTAGAAAGAGACACACTAAAATGTTACAAATATTTATATCTGGTTAGTAATTTTATGGGGAATTAAAGTATTTTCCTTTACTGTACTTTTTTTTTCTATAGTGAATAGATATTATTTCATAATCAGAAAAAAATAAAAACATGTTCCTTAATTTGAGGTACTATTTTTCTAGTTTGATAAAAAGACACTTAGAAAACACATACTTGGTTAAAGTAAAAAAGAATAGGAAGAATTAACATATACTTCTCCATCTTCTCTGCACATTGCTGTCTCACATCATGTTTTCTCTCTCCTATCTTCTCCTCCCTCTGTCTTGCAGAGCAGTAAAATGCATGCATAAAATGAGTAAGTCTTCCACACAGCATGCTATTTGATTGTTGCAAAAGCTACTTGGGGTTAATTCTTTCATAAAACACCTCTGCAGGTTATGACAAGAACTCAAGGAGAACACAGTGCTAATGGGCAGTGGAAATCCCTCTTGCATACTAAATGTCCCTTCCCCCTCAGCTGACAGGTTTGAAACCAGCAACAGGTACCCTATTACCAGGCTCTCTGTGTTATCCAAGAGGGTGTAAAATTTCAGGTCCCTTTATTTCAGCAGTTGAGTGGTCAGAGCTGAATTATTGCTTCCTTTATTTTATGGCTCTAGCAATTCCCCAGGATGTATACCTGAAAAATCAATGGCAGATGGTTCAGTAGGAGACATAGGTAATGTTTCTCTGTTGTTCTCAATCTCTCCAAGAGGAAAGCTTGTAGTAGGGCACTCAGGATTGCCACATCCAGAGGTTAACAGTAAGGTTTGTTTGATGCTCACAGGGCACAGTGTGCTCAGTGATGTTTTCTTTACACATGCTGTCTCATGAAAATATGTCTGCAACCCTACAAGGTAAGTACTGTTCTTATGTCAGATAGACTATACATGTTACCGGGTGTGGAGACAGGCTTGAGCCTAGGGTGAAAGTCTTATTGACAGCCATACAGCAGGCCCGAGGCAACAGCCCGACCACTGGAGCCACAAGAAATGCCTTGTGACATTTACTTCCATTGGCAGATCATGAGACTGATGCCTAGAGCTCGCCACTCCCTAACCACCACCCTTGAAATTCAACACTTAGATATTGCAACAGTCAGGGTCACATTGTTTCCAGGAATGCAGGCTCTGTAATCTGAAACTCAGTATGCTAATGAGGCATCCTACCCACTATTCTGTGATAGGATGTTAAGTCTGTTATGCTAATAGGATGCTAAGTCTGTTATGCTAATAAGGTATCCTACTTGCTGTGCTGTGATTGGACCACTACCCCTATATAAGCCTGTGCCTTCCTGCAATAAACTAGATCTGTGCACTGAACCTGGTCTCCTGTGTCTGAATGTGTCTCTGTTGACACAGTCTCCTCACCAGGCCTGGGGTCCAGGACTGGCAGAAGCAGTGACAACAGGAGGCAGCACAGGGTGAGCAGAAGAGCTGCTAGGGCAAGCAGAAGAGCTGCCTCAGGGCCAGGTGAGCAGAAGAGTGGCCTCAGCCCAGGGCAAGTGGAGGAGCAGCCTCGACGCCAGTGAGAACAGAGGAGCGGCTGCTGGCGGTGACCACAACCGGGGAGGGGTAATTTTCCTTAAATCAAATAGCCTGGACGTAGCAGAACCAGAATGTGAAGACATACGCTTTTGGTTCCAAAGTCATTACTTTAAGGACTATTCTGATGCCTTTGAATGAAATTTCAGCACCAAGAAACAATAGCCTGACATATCCCAGTATATCAGCAAAATCCATGACACATCCAGGTATGGCACAGTCTCCTTTGACAGGCTTTCAGCTGCCTCTCTTGATGAGGATTCCACAAGAAGCTAAACCCCACCAAAAAGTGACATGGGCAATGTCTTCTCATTCTTCCAAAGATGATGACAGAGAACTAATAGCATTCTAAACGAAAGAGGAGATGGGAATTAATTACACATAGTGGATGCCTTAAAGCATTTTATATTGGTGATAAAAGGGTAAATGTCATGTTATATTGCATATATTATGTATTCTAATATTATTTCACTGTGATTTCTAAACATCTACAGAATGCAACAGGCTACAAATACTAGATGGAGTACTGGTGGTGTCCTTGAACCCATTGTCACTAAGGGATTGGGAGGATGAAAGGGGTGGCCTCTGCTCTTACCCTGCCTAGATCCTTTTCATTTTGCTATTCTTTGCTTGGTGGTCCTTTCTGGAACTCCTTGTTCCCAAGTGTAGAAGGATTTAAACATTACTACTTCTATCACTACAGTTGCTCAAACTTCAAACTTTAATTACAAAGTTTCTATCAAAGGCACACCTTCAATACACTACTTCTGATTGTATATAAGTGAGAGTACTCAAAGCAGGGCGTTTGCACAGCAGTGTGTATTCTGCACTTTGTTTAGGTAGTGGTCCTGGTCTAGAACCACCAAATAGCCAGAACTTCCTTTTTGCTTTCTTCCTTTCTTAATATACCTCAATATTATCTTTTTTCATTTTCATTTTTCAAAAGAGATTAACTTTCAGGGCAAGTGCTTCCTGAGAAAGTTTTTCCCTTTGATCCCAGTATGCTGGTAACCTAATGAGTGTCCCTGCTCTTGGCTGGATGTAACAATTTTGTTGCTTCGTGCTGACTTTCATTTAAGCAAAACCAGCATAGCTGGCTATCAATAATTGTTTAATGTTCCAGAAAATTCCCTAATGCTGGATAGTTTAATGCCAAAGAATGTCTTTTTTTTTTCAAACAAAGAAATGTTTCAACAATAGCTGCCCTTTTGTGGAACAAAGAGAGGGGGAAAAACCATACATTTCACAAAATGATTTCAAATACATTTATAGGATATCTTACATGCTGCAACATAGATTGAGTGGCCCAAATGCCAGAACATCGGTGACAACAAGAACAAAGTCACAGGGCATTCTGATATCTCTGTTTTTCTATTCATTTTGGTACATGTGAGATGTACCAAGTATTTTGTCAATTCCAATCTTCAGAGAGTATTTGTAAAAATAATACTGAAAATAACAAAACAAGCAAACTTATAAAGACACTGACCAAAATAAAAACTGACAAAGCTGTGAGTAGTGATATATCCCTAAAGTCCCAGCTCTGGGGAGGTTAAGGCAGGAAGACTGCTTGGGCCTGGTCTCATAAAACAAACAAACAAACAAAATTTTTTTTCAAGATAAGTCAATAAAATAAATAGTGACAGAACAGTATTAAAGAGGAAAAACAATAGTTTTTAAAATAATGAAGCATGACACATAGACAAAGATTATTTAACACCAAAAATGTATAAAATATGGTTATCCTATTAAGAAATTGAGGAGAAATGACATGCTTCTTTCTCTCAATGAAGGACAGAAAACGACTAAAAATTGAGTAAAGAAAGCAATTTATTCTACCCAGTGAAGTGAGTCTACTAATAATTAACAGCAAACCTTCATCTAAATGTTGAGAGTTAGAAGGATTTCCATTAAGATAAGAAACAAAATGTCATGGTACTGCAATCACCCTATTATTCAGCCCTGAGCTAGGTGGAGTTCCTAGTCAGAGGCATAGTACAAGATAAAAGAATTTTTAAAGGGGCATAAGGGGAGGGGGATGTTGGAGAGATGGCTCTGCTCTTGCAGAGGACCCAGATTTTATTCCTAGCACCTACACTGCAGCTCACAAACATTTAGAACTCCAATCCCAGGGCATCTGATGACCTCTCCTGGCCTCCAGGGGCACAAGGCATACATATGGTGTACATACATATACACATACAGGTAAGTATTCATACACATAAAATTTTTTTTCATAAAAAAGACAAGAAAGAAGATTTGGAAAGGCAGAGATGGAATTTTCACTTTTCAACTATGCAATTATTTTCCTATTAGAATCCAAAAACTCTTGAAATAACTTGTAAAATTATAGTTTAAGATTATCTGATCTTAGATCAATAGACAAAAGTCAACACCATTCTTAAATACTAACAATAATGAGGGGCTGGAGAGATGGCTCAGTAGTTAAGCGTACTGACTGCTCTTGCAGAGGACCCAGGTTCGATTCCCAGCACCCACATGGCGGCTATGAACTATCCTTAACTCCAGTTCCAGGGGACTCTGAAGCCCTCTTCCAACCTCCATGGTCATTGCACAACATGGGTGCATTCACATACGTGCAGGCAATATACTCATACACATAAAAAATAAAAATAATAAATAAAATATTTTTTAAAAATACTAACAATAGCCAGGCATGGTGGCCCACGCCTTTAATCCCAGCACTTGGGAGGCAGAGGAAGGCAGAGGTAGGCCAGCCTGGTCTACATAGTGAGTTCCAGGACAGCTGGGGCTACAGGAAGACCCTGTCTCAAAAAGACCAAAAAAGAAAAAAAAAAATACTAACAATAATGAATAGAAAAATGAAACAACTTGGGGCTGGAGAAATGGCTAAGTGGTTAAAAACACTGGCTGCTCTTGCAGAAGACTGGGGTTTAGTTCCCAGCACCCTTATGATGGCTAACAACTGTCTGTAACTTGAATTCCAAGGAATCCAACACCTTCTTCTGGCCTCTATGGGCATTGCATGACATGGGTGCACTTACATACATGCAAGCAAAACACCCATAAACATTCAATAAAAATAAGTAATTTTGAAAAAAATTTAAAAAAGAAAACGTAACAACTTTTCTTAAAAATGTTCAAGTCCCATATGGAAATAGTCCTAGAGGCTCCTGGGACTCCTCTCACAGGAACCTATAGCAATGGTGTCAGCATACACAAGATCCATGCAAACTTAAGCAGGCAAAAACCCAGCACAGAACTGTGGAAATGGACAGTAGGCCCCAATTTTAGTCGAATTACTGGCAGCTGACTACTGCTA